CAGCAGCTCTGGTGGGATTCACCTGCTTTGGGTGTTATTTAACCCACAGTATAACCCAGCAAGCTCTGACTCCACACAGCACCTCATCTCAGCACTGGAGAGAGGTGCTGCAGAATCACAACCCTGCTGTTCCACCCCTGCAGAAGAGGGCAGTGACTTCCCTCCCATTTTACAGATGGGCAAACCGAGGCACACCAAGACATCTCCCCAGCAATAGGGTGCCAACCTTCAAATTATTTCAAATCTTTACCAAAATGCCTTGGAGTATCCAAGTCCGGATCACACACAACAGCAGCAGCAAAGCACATGAGCACCAGAACGGGTCTTTTTATAACTGACTCAGTGATCCTAGCCCTGATCTCATCAACCTTTCCAACAAGCTCTTCCTCCCCTTGCTCTTCCCCAGCAAGAAGAGGTCCCTTCAACCACCTCATCTTCCATCTCCAATGACTCCTTGGCCAGGAGACCCACACTGCCCAACCAACCAACCCACTCCCCACTGTCTTTGTCTCAGCCTATCTCCAGCTGTTGTTTACTGTGAATTACCTGCACTTTGGGGCCAAGACCATCTTTTGTTCCCTTTTTATACAGCACCTGGCACCGTGAGCTCAGTACTGGGAGGTATCTGATTACACAGCTAATAAATAAACAAGGACCTATCCTCATCAGCATGTGGTTGTCCAAGGCTGCAATTTCCAGAGAAACTGCTGCAGGCTGCGCTTGATGCTATTAGTAATTCAGATGTGTTTGGGAGATGAGATGTTCCCAGGATGAGGAGCAGGCACTGCTGAACCAGACCTTCCTACAACAGGCATGCACACAGCAGGGAGTGGAAAACCCAGACCGGCTCAAACTCAATATCCACCATCAAAACCCATGTTCTGGGCCAGGCATACCGTGAACACAAAGACCTGATGTTTCTTGCAGAGGCTGCAAGGATGGCTGAAGAGAAGTCGGGGAGAAGAGCACTTTAAGGCAACCACTGTTACAGCATCTCCCTCCCGCAGGGGCTTTTGCAACAAGGTCTTTCCTCCTGATGGCCCTCTGGGCCTGCTCCACCTTTCATGAATCGTACTTGCTCCCCCAAAGTCTCCCCTGGCATCACCCACACCCACCTGCCCCCCACGCCTACGTGCCCATCCCCACGTCCAGCACTCCCAGACCGCGCTGCTGAATTACGGCGACCACAAAACCCCACGGACCGCCAAGCCATCCGCTGCCGCGGGAGCCGCCCGACTCCTCCATCCCCAGGGCTCCGATTTCACCATGACGTGAGGCACAGAGGATGGGAAACGGCACAAGGTGGGATGCAGCTGCTCGCAGCTGCTCTAAGCACGTCCCGCCCTAAACAAACCTCCTTTTCCTCCACCCCAGACCTCCGAGACATTCTCTGTTCTCTTTGATTCAGAAATATCAGTGATTGCCTAGATTAGAAAGAAGGGGGGAAAAAAAAAAAAAAAAAAAAAGCCTTGGAGAAAAATCCCAAGAGGACATTAATTAGGAGACAGCACTCCCCAGCTCTGGAAGCATCAGGGAGGAGCAACACTTAAACTCCCAACCTGACGGAATAACTTTGAATCATCTTTCATCTTCCCCTGGATCGGGTGTAATCTAATGACATTAGCTTGGCTTCGCTCTAGTGAAATTGGCATCAGTGCTACAGAGGCAGGGAGATTAAAACATATGAAATAAGTGTTCCTGGGGTGACTGACAGTATAATGACATTCCAACAGGCAGCTCAATCAGCGCGAGACTAACAAAGGATCAGAGGGAACCAGCCAGACTCACGATATCACCCGCAAATACAGATTTTTTTTTTTTTTAAATCCAGACATTTTTTTTTTTTTTTACTTGACTGGCTTAGCCCCTATTCTTGGGAGTTTTCCCCAGGCTGTATACAGCCATATTTGGGGTGGGAGCAGGCAGTTGAACTCTTTTAAAACCCATGCTCACCTGCTATTGAACTCTGCTAGCTCAATAGCCTTGTTCAGGGCTGGAGCGGAGGTTTCTGTGCTGGGAAGTCAATGCGAGCATTGTGGGCTGCCCTCCCTCCTTTTGTCCCTGTACGAAGAGAGGACTTGTAGACCCGAATTGAAGAAAGCTGCTTTCGGCACACAACTTCCCTTGATATTCAACCCACACATGAGCACACACGGAGGTGTCACACTTACTAAATTAAATCACTCCGATTGTTTTTTATAAAGCCAGCCTCTCGGTAGGACAGCTGCCTTCCTACCCAGGCACAGCTCAGGCTAGGGGAGCCGAGCGATTATTCCACTTGATTTAACGGACAGCCTTTCCGTGCATTGTGTGGCACCCCAGTAGGCGACAGGACTTCCACGTGCCGAGCCCGTGCCTCGCGAGCCGCTGCCCTGCAGGTACCACCACCCAGCCGGCCCCTCGGAGCATCACCCTGCTGCCGCGGCCACAGCTCAGCCCCCTCTTTATCCACCCTCACGCCGACCGGAGCTGCTCTTTGAATTCCAGAAGAAACCTCATGCCTGAGACCCCGCAGCCACCCTGCCACGGTCTCGGTGTGGCATCCTAGTGACAGCCCACCAGTGACAACCGCGCCGACCGTCAGCCGCAAAGGCTGGCTGGCTCTTCTCCATTCGCAAACCTGTGCCGCTGCAAGCAGCCAAAAGCTTTTTATTCCCTTGGACAGGGCGCTCGCTGCCCGCGCCGGCTTCCTGCGGGCGCTGAAAGCAAACCCAAGTGTTTATACCTTGTAATGATGCTGTTTAGTCTGACTGCTGGGAAACATAAATGCACGTGAAACCCAAGCTTCTGATGCCAAAGATAAGAAATCAGGACCCCTGGCAAACATCTGGCCATTTCCCCGGCACTGAACCCTCATCAAAGATTACAGCAAACCCATGGAGAGAGACAGATATTTTTTTAAATGAGTATTTATAACAGGCTGGTAACTGGTTACCAGCAGGCTGACACCGCAGCTCTGCCATCACGCCAGGACTCCGTGTGTTAGTAAAGATTACTCATACAAGCAAAGCCGGCAAGATTAGGTCTCAAAGGAATAATCCCATACAAAGAATTCAGTGTACCCCAGCCTCCACAGGGCTAATAAAAAAAAAAAAAAAAAAAGGTGAAATTCAGTACATCAAATACCAGAACAAACAAACTACAGCAATTAATGGGAGAGCTCATGTACCAAATGCTAAAACATAATGATTACACAAACAGTGGGCAGGGCAGCACCTCGAGTGAGTAAGAGCTGCAAGATCAAGACCAAACCTTTGGAAAATTAAATCCCCTACACCGAGGACTGTACTATGCCCTAAATGCCTGTGGCTCCTCCTCTGCCTAGGTCTGCACTCCTCGCTCAGGCACGGTTTCCAGAAGCGGGTCTATCCCACCGCCATCTGCTCCTCAAGGCTTCGGGAGCATCTTTGATAAATGAGCTTTTCTGCATATCCACCGTAAATTTCAGTAGATGCCACCCCAAAGCCATGTGTTTATTTTTCAAAGTCAAGACTTGATTAAAGTTCTTGAGGTTTTTCAGATTCGTTTTTAATGTTTCCTTTCTGATACAGGGTCAGCATGTGGAAATTGGATAAGTGCACACTAAAAATATAATTCTGTAGACAGCTTCAGCCCACACAAAAGGAAATCTTTCTTCTAGGAGAACCCACACTCTGTTGCCTGCAAAAACCCGGCGTGTTTCTGACACCAGCGGATACACAAGGAAGCTCATTACTTCCACGTGTTAAGAGTTTTACATAAACACTTGGACTGTCAGTACTATCCTACTCCACATTTCAATACTGTCACCACAAGCTGAGCCAAAATCATCCTCTCCTCTCTGCTAATAGCCGGGTTTAACATGAAAGTAAAGCAACCTCCAGGGGTACCCGAAATCCTCCCCTTTTTGCTTGTTCATTCAAGAAAGCCACAAACACAGACACACTCTGCGAAAGAGCAGTTTCGCCCCCACCCTAAACAATCCTTTCCATAGGAATCTGCCAGGAGACGCTCTTCTACTAACTTGAAAACACACAAGGAAAACATCTAAACATTAGTAAGAATCCTGCCCCTTAGCTTTAACGTTTACTGCCTTGTTTTAAAGGGGATACCTTTTATTTGGTTTAATGAAACACTAATTTAAAGAAGAACCCCATCTACCTTTTTGCTCGTTTCTTAGGCAAGGTGAGCGTGTGGGTTGCGCTCCTGGAACTGACATTTTGGGTTACTCATTACTGGGCTGCTGAAGCGTTTGCATGGGAAATACGTTTTTTCTCCACACTGAATCTAGGGAAGCTGCTTTTAACGGCTGCCTCTCTGGGCTGGGAGTTGCGGGAGGTGACGAAACGATGCTTTGCAAGGGGAGGCAGCCGGGGCAGCGGGGTGGCTCGGCTGGGATCAGCCACAGGTTTTGCAAAGCCACCCCCCAGAAAAGCCGGGGAGCAGCAAGATGTCGGGGGGTCTGGGCTCCCTGGGGGACGCGGGGTTGGCTCTGCCTCAGCACCCCCGTACAGTCCCCAGGGTGATGGGGCACCCGCTGCTCTTCCCATTGTCCCCCCCACCCCCCCGCAGGCAGCACCCCAAGCTGCAGGGAGGCACCCCCGGGGGGACCCCGCACCGGGGCGGGAGGATGAGCTGGGCAGCGAGGGGAGAAGAGGGGTGGGGGGATTAGGGGATAGGGTGGTTGGGGGGCTGGAAGGTGGTTGTGGGGAGAGAGGGGCTAGGGGGGATTTGGGAGCAGGTCCGGGAGGATGGGGGAGAGAGAGGGGCTGGGGGGAGAGTGCCTGTGGAATGGGGGCACGGAGAAGGGGGTTGGGGGGGTTCGGGGAGCGGGAAAATGATCGGCGGGTGTGTCTGGGGAGCGGGGACGGGGCTTGGCGCGGGAGGAGGGGTCGGGGCAGCGGGGCTGGGGGGCCGGGAGCCGCGGGCGGGCGGCGGCGGGGCCGGTGGCCAGCGGGGGGCACTGCCGGCTCGGCCACGGCCCCGGCCCCGCCGCCGCCCGCCCCAGCCCCGTCCCGTACCTGTACCAGGCGAGTCCCCGCTCGTAGTTGCGGTCGAAGAAGTGGGGCTCGGCGCCGACGGCGCGCACGTCGGGGTGCACCCGCAGGAACTCCAGCAGCGCCCGCGTCCCCCCCTTCTTCACGCCGATGATGATGGCTTGCGGCAGCCGCTTGCTGCCCTCGCCCAGCAGCAGCGTCAAGGTGCCGGGGGTCCCCGCCGCGCTGCCCCCGCCGCCGCCCGAGCCGCCCGCCCGGCTCCCGCCGCCCCCGGCCGGCACCTCCGGGCCCGGCGCCGCCTCCTGCCGCCGGCGCCGCTGCTTCAGCCGCTGCAGCAGCCGCTTCCTCCGCGCCGCCGCCGCCTGCCAGGGGGGCAGCTCGGCCGAGCCCCCCAGGTACCCGCCGCCGCCTCCCTCCTCCTCCTCCGAGGCGGCGCCGGCGGCGATGATGGGTCCGGGCAGGGTCTGGCAGCGGTCGGCCAGGCAGTAGAAGACGTAGAGGGACATGAGGAGGGAGCAGAGCATCACCAGGAACTTCTTGAAGATGCTGCGGGGCAGCGGCTCGGCGGCGGGGGCGGCCGCCGCGCTCACGGCCATGCTACCCCGAGGCGGCGGCCGGGCGCCTTGGCCATGCTCCGCGGCCGCCCCCCGGCGCGGCCCCTCCGCGCAGCGCTCAGCGGCGGCGGGGGGCTGCGCGCTGCCGCATCCCCAGCGCGGGGGCCACGCCGCGACGGCGCTTCAGGGGGGCATCGGGGCGGGGGGGGGAACCGCCGCCCCCCGCTGCCGCTCCGGGGCCGGGCGGGGACGCGGGGCCGGGGTGCGGGGCTCCCACGTGCGGCACCCGCCGCGGCAAACTTCGGTGGGGACATCGCCGGGCGTGGGGCGGGGCGGGGCGGGGCCGGGGGGGCGGGGCCGTGGCGCGGCGTGGGCGGGGGGCAGAGCCACGGGGGGAGGGTGGTGCGGCCCCGCGGGGAAGCCGCTCCCGCCCCCCCCCATTGAGGGGGAGTGGGGTGCGGGGGTAACCCCGGGGGTTGTCCCGGGGGTCGCGGGGATGTCCCCGAGGCTGTCCCGGGGCGGGGGTGCCCCGGTGGCTGTCCCGGGTGGGGCGGAGATGTTTCACGGGGAGCGGGGGTACCCCGGAGGCTGTCCCGGGGGTTGCGGGGGTACCCCGGTGGCAGTCCCGAGGGGGGTGGCAATGTCCCGGTGGCTGGCGCGGGGGGCGCGGGGGGTGTCCCGGGGGGTTGCGGGGTTACCCCGGAGGGCAGGGAGGAGCTCTCCGGTGTCTCCAGGTTTTCCCCGGCGCTGCCTGCCTGCGCAGCCACCCGCGGAAGCTGCCGCGGGAAATCCGCCCCGCTGCCCGCCGGCGGGCCCGGGGCTCAGCCGAGCTCCGCGGGGCTTTGCCGTGTGGAGGGTGATGAGAGCGGGGTGTCCGTCTGACCGTGCTCTGTCCACCTGTCTGTCCGTTTACTCAGATTTGTGAACTACACCCCCACACACACCCCCATCCCTCTGGTACCTGAGCACATATTCCTGCTTTGCCCAACGATCATGTCCACCCCCATGTACACAAATATCTGTACAAATATCTGTAAGGGGGAAGAACAGTCCCCCTTAAACCAGTGGAACCACTGACACAGGTGTAAAATATACTTGCAGTATTACAGCCAACAGCTACCCTGAGTTCTCTACTGAATACTGCACAGAAAGACCTGAAATCAGACTTTTCTCCACTCACTTGAACAAATTGCCCCTAGGCTGGCTGCAGAATCTGGCCCACAGTTTGTAAGAAATATCTACAAACACAACACAACATTGCTCTCAGAATTCGTTCTTCTCCTTTGAGAGTACATAAAATGTGGAAATAGCTATCAGCTTCATGCCTCGGCTGCCTGATTCTAAGGGCTTCATTATTTCATTGCCTGTGGGAATGTCCTTTTAATTTGAAATGTTTGTCATAGATTATAGAACTTTTAAACAAACTTGCACATGAAACACTTGACTTAGATTTTTTTTTCCCCTTCTGTTTGGTGTGGACCTAGCTGAGGAATTAAACTTCAACTACTTGGAAATAAAGCTGGTGGATCCACAAATTATTCAATGAAAGGGGGGGGGGGGGGAGGAATTTCAATGAATAATAATCAGCCATCTGCAGAGCTGGCTGGCTAATAAAAATATGTTTCCAAATAGTAAACAGGCCAAAATTAATAACAAATGTTATTTGCAATGAATCATTCTATTAGATCTTCTCCTGACTTTATGACGTTTTTCCTCTCTAAGCAAAGAAACTTATTTTGAATATATGATTTCCAAATCCATACCCACCCCAGCTGCAACGCAGCCAGATCACTTTATCTGAAATTATTGAACACAATTCCAACTTGGTATGTTTGGTGACTTCAAGATACTGTGGTGTTTCAGGTATTTAAATGCTCCAACATGTAAGTAGATGCCTGGTGTGATTTACAAAAGGCTATAAGCAGGTTAGGCCCCTTACACCTCTAGGCAACTCCTTACATCATTAGGAACCTAAATGCCTTTATAAATCTGCGCTGTGATCCGCAGCTCATTGAAGTCAATGAAAAGACTTTGCTGACATCAATGGGCTTTGGAGTGGGCCCTGCAGAAGGAACACGATCAATGCAAAGTGGTTTGACTTCTCTATGCTGGTTATAAGGATACTTTTTTCTTAGACGCTTAGAAAAGTGCTACATTTTCTGTTTGAATAAGTGGTCATTTCAAGCAGAGAAAACAAGAAATGAGGAGTGAAATCAGTGCGAAAGAGTGCAGAGGGTGTGTGTGTGTGTGTGTGTCTCTGCTGTCATCGTACCACAGGACTCACATTTGTTGCTTTTTCCCTGGAAATATCGGTGTGAATCTCAGCTTTCCTTTAAAAAGTTGCTAGTTGCCTAGGGAAAATATGACCAGAGTCTATTTAAAAAGTTTTGGTGTCTAGAAAGCAATAAGCCAAATATATCTGTATTTAAACCAGCCTTACGATATTTAAGGCAAGCTTGTGATTTTTTCAGAACCTGACTCATCGTTTCTGCCTGCTGGGGCTGAAGGCACCGATGGCTCCAGCAGCCAGCAGCAGCTCTCCGAGAAGGAAGGTATCTCACCTGGTAGAAAAGGCAATACTGGCAAATAAAATAGTGAATACTTTCACCCCTCTGTACCTCATATCGCTGCTGACTCTGCTAGTGCAGCTCCAAATATGAGATTCCATAGAGGTTTATTAACAGACTGGTTTTGTCCTTATTTTTAGATGAGTTTCTCTCAGTACAAAGACTGTTTGGTGAACGCTGTAGTATAAAGCCAGAAAAACTGGGTGGCTGACGTCATAACATCCAGTTTTGAGAATTTACACCTCCTATCTGTTTTAGCCCGTATACAAAAATAACCCTTCTCAGGGATAATGTGGGGGTTTTTTAATGACTTAGAGGCTTGGAGCAAAAGGTGCTTTTCATTTTACTCAGCCTCTTACACAACTGACTTAACATTTGCCGTGCAGCCTCTTTCTTTTCTGGCAGGCTCTCCTCAGGGCTCCTGTCTGCACTCGCTCCTTACCTTGCTCGGTTGTTCCTTTCTCTTTTTATCTATTTCTTATTTTATTGCTTGCCCCCATCCTGCCTCCCCCCCACCCCCCCGAGGAATGCTCCGCTGCACAAGTAATTTCTGGTGCTACTTCTGAGAGCGAGCAGGGCTCTTCACCCAGCACGGCTGGTGCCAAAATCCACCTCCACCGCCAGCGGCAGCTCATTAGCAAGGTTTCCTATTCCAAATGGGCTGGTTTGGGATGCCCTTCTTTTGGGGTCCCTTCATGAGGCACCGAGGAAACAGACCTGCTTACCAGGAGAGGCCTTTGGCAAGCAAGTCTGCAACTCAGCAACTCAAATCCTCTGTGGCTTTGGCAAAAAAGAGCTGAAGGCTTCGCTTCCACCATCTGATATTTCCAGGTGCTCCCGTACAATCGGGAAAGCAGAAGGCTTCCAGCTCGGACGCCTCGTGCATGCACAGCCCGTGCCAGCCCCACTGGGACAGCTGTATTTTTTTCCCTTTCCCAGTGACCCGTAGCATAGATGGGATCAGGGGTTAAACTGGGAGTATGGTGGAAAAGGGACCGGGGAGCCTGAGGCTAGCTCAGCTTAACAAGTGATTATAAGGTCTGAAGGCAAAGGGAACCGCTGCCTGTCAGGAAGCTGCTGCTGAAGAAAACATCCCATTGTACCGGGGAGATGGAGTATGGGACAGAGGAGGGAGAAACAGATTGATAACTGAGGGGCGATGTGACCCCGAATGGGCTCCTACAACAAAAGCCCCTTCATCTAAAATGAATAGGAACAATAGCTGATGGGGACAGGCCAGCAGCAGCCCAGGATTTGAGAGCCTGGAGGAGAGGGAGGAGTCAATGGCGGGTCCTGTTTTACCCAAATCCTCTATTGATCCCGGTAATCTCCGGGGCCTCCCCCCCCTTGAAATCACACAGAAAGTTCAAGGACTTTTTGCCTTTGGATTGTAGGGACATGCATTGTCCTGAAGAGCCGGCGGGACCAGCAGCCAGTGAGGTGTGGCGTGGGGCAGCCTGGTGGGAATCGCCCCAGAGTGGGGCTGGGGTGCCAGGGATGAGCTGCTGCTGTCACCGGGGCAGCCCTGGGATGTCCCCAGCCCCGGGGCTGGCAGTGGTGACAGGAGAACCGTGACTGCTGGCTTCATCCTGGCACTCCCTGGCTACTGGGTGGGTTCTGGCTCCACGGAGCTTTTTGGAGCAGAGTATGTGTGGATGTACAGAGCCTGGCGCAGCAAGCTCCCAGCCAAACGCTCCCATATTATTAAGAAGGAGACTGCGGTCTTTCTCTTACAGGATCTCCAGAGCCCTCATTAGGTGGAGCATGTGCCAAGGGAATACAGGGCAGCGGTGGAGCTGTGGGACTTCTGGGAGCCAGCACTGGGAATGGGAACTGCATCCTCCCAGAGCATCACCGCGGGGGCTGAGCAGGTAGCAGCAGGTGCTGGGGACATGTTGGAGAGCCGAGCAGCATCTCCAGTCCTGGAGGTTTTGCTGAAAATATATCCTGAAGTGTTGAGCCATAAACACTAAAAATGTAGGGATGGGTTTTTTCTTTTGGTTTTAATTTTTTTTTTTTTTTTTTTCTTGGAAGGACAAAATTATCCACAGGAAACGTCAAAAAAAAAAAAAAAAGGAAAAAAGTTTTGAGTGAGTATTTTCAGCCTGCACTCACCTAACAAAACGACCTGACCTGTTGCAGAATATGCAATGCCTGCGCCCCAAAATCAAACAGTCCTGGGAGGAGAACGCAGCTGAAATCTTAGTCCTGCTTTGGCTGAGGTGGGAGGCAAGGTATTTCTGTACCTGATGTCTGGCCATGGTGCTCTGTCCACCTTGTATCTGACACCTCGTGCTCAGCGGGGCTGGAGAACAGGCCAACTTGATTAGAGAGCTGGCACAACATCTGGGAGGCCTTGGATTGGGAGCATGAATTAGTAAGAACTGGTAAAAAGAGGAGACTGACTGGGATTCAAAGCCTCGCTGGGCGCTCGGGGCTGCCAGGTCCTGATTCCTGGCCCTGCCCTGCCCCACGCAGCCACCACGCTGG